TTCTTTTATCAGTTGTTCAAGCTGATTGACCATGGTAAATTCCAGCAGTCTCTCTGTCTGCCTTGAGGTATTAAAAATGTCACAGTTGAGATCACCGATGACAATGACTTCCAAATTGTTTTTAGTCGCATCCCTCATAACATCATCTAAATAGTTAAAAACCTCGAGGGATTCGTCTGGAGCCCTGTAAACGCATCCAATTAAATATTTCACTTTATTCAGTTGCATTTCTATCCAAATGGCTTAAAAATCATCCTCTAAATCCCTTCTTACAGTGTGTTTCACATTTTCCAGTACATAAATTGCCACTTCACCTCCCCTACGATTTTTCCGGTGATGACGGTGTACAGAATAGTCCGATAATTCAATTTCTGAGTCCGAGATGGAGTCGTCTAACCATGTCTCTGAAATTCCGATAAATAGGGGGCAAATATCTTGAAAAGTTTGCCTCAGTTCGTCGATGTGAGCGATAATACTTCTGCAATTGAAGAATAAATCGATGAACTTGCGCTGAAAGAAGAAACCAAGATGGCCGCTGTCGGAAAACGTGCTCCGTGCATGGATTTAATAATCTTCGATGCTGATAATATTCGACGGCAAATTCGTCTTCATCATCTCGGATGGCTCGATCATGACCTACGCTTTAGTAATTGTTTGTTGCATCCAAAGTTAAGATGCAAATTAAATAAAATAGCACAGATGCCCTGCAGTTAAGTGGCGACCGTCCGGGTGCCATGCTATCCAACCTGCTTGTTAACCTGCTTGTTACGATTACATAAACCACTAAACACATCATGATACCGTGTTTAATAGCGGCGTTTGAAATTTTTAGCGTGTCTTTAGCCGAATACAAATAGGTTGCAATTTGAGACGTTAAAATTGCCACAGGATTCCGTTTGATAAAGAGCGAAATTATTGTACTTACCTCACTTGGTAAGTACGGTGCGTAAACTGAATATGCCGCGTATAGGACGAAGTATACTAGGCACATCGAAAAAAGAAGGACCATGTTACGTGGATTCCATGTTTCTTCTTCCGTCTCTGAACGGGTTTCGCCTGCACTTTTAGTTAGTAGAATCTCTGAACTGCTATCCTTCATGGTCAAAACCTTACTTCAGATCACTGAAATGTTACGATCGCTCAATTACTTGCTGGTGGTGCGTGTGATAATCCCGTCGTCAAGCAACAGGGTTTGTTCAGTGGGCGAGTATCAGTCTGAGAATGTTAGTATTACTATGTTGCAGTATTTGCTGTGTTTCGGTCAATATTTTTTTTTGAAGAAATTATTTTGTAACTCCTTGTAGAAAAGTTACACAATCAAGCGTGTTAAGACCAAGTCGGAGGGCTTTCTTACCCTTGTGTGTATATATGTGGTTCGTAAAAGTTCCTGTCGTCCTAATTTGGGCTAAATTATGTCTCTACTGACAAAGGCAATCACTTACCGAAGGCTGACGGATAAAAAAGATCGTGCGATATTTTTAATAAAAGAGGCAAAAGCGATAAACAAAGAGCTTTCGCTTGTCACAAATTTTTAAAAGCCTCTTTACGACTTTGTTTTGACTGCTGCGTTCTCATTCAAAGATTAAAGTACTGATATGAAACTTTGGAAACAAGATCGCTTTCTGTTAAAAAAAGTACAAGGAAGCGCAGAAGAGGGGTTGCGTTTAGCAGATGTCCACCCTCTCTCTTTCGTAAGCCTGAAAGACAAATTTTGATACCTAAAACTAGACAGAAATAAAAATAAACAAGAATTTGTGGCTCACGGCAATACATTACAGGCAGCCCCCGTCTTTAGCTTTGCATGTCCGTCGCGCGATTCGAAAGAAACTGGCCAAGAAATAGTTCGCGGGGGCGACACACAAGAGAATATGGTTTTATTAACTGAGTTCATAATGTATTTTGGCCAACGTATAGAGATTCTGCAGCTGGCGCTTCGAGTGTTTTCCCTTTGTCAAAGGAATTCTGGGTTGTGTGGTTTATCTACAGAAGAAAAGAGTTACGCTTTTGGCGTTCTTTGATACCTTGGTGATTAAGAGTGTCGATTTTTGAATAATCAGTGTTTGTTTTAGAGTTTCAGTTCAGCTTCCAAACTGCGTAGATGTAGGAAAGACCAGCAGACTGCTATATCTTAAATGAAAATAGTCAGAAGGAATGTTGACGCATTTCACCTGAAAATAATTTCCCTTGACACCAAATTGGTTTTTTAAAGTTGCGCTACGTTATTCGCATCTGATCTAGGTAAGAACTGCTTCACCAGCCGATCAATTGATAAAAAATGATAAAAGTGGTATAAGTAAGAATTTTCTATATACCATATCATTCTAGCTCATTTAGTTGTTGGGAATTAAAGGGAAATACAAATTTTTCTAGGTTATACACAAAAATTGAAAGTTTTCATATCATTGCTACATACTGCGACAGATATTTATCATTTGGTTCATACGTCAGCGTGGTCCATCGATATATGAAGCACGCGGGAAGTTTGAAGAGCACGAAAGATACGAAAGAGTTGCTCGAAGTGCAACTAAGACAAATTATAGCTTCTTGAATGCTCTCCAAACCTGACTATCCAAGTTCCTCATATATCCATGAATGTACACTGACGTGTAAACCAAATGTTTCATTCGTCATCCTTGCATTTATCAAGATATGAGGCACTTGAAAAGTTGAAAGTGCACTCAAAAAGCTAGACTTGCTCTCGGCTGCGCCTCGAGCGACTCTTACGTATTTTATGTGCTCTTCAAACTTCCCACGTGCTGCATATCTCGATGAACTTACACCGACGCAAGAGCCAGATTCTGATTGTAACATTGCTAGTACATTTGTAATCTCACGTGTGCTTGGTCAAAATCTGTCGTTTAATGTGCCTGTAAACCTATAAAAAACCGAAAAATCATTTTGTCCTGAGAACTGGCGTCAATCGGGACCAATTCCCAGATTTTGAATTACAGAAGGCCTTTGGTTGGGAAGAAACGAATCAGACGGTGTGGTCGCCGAAAACAAAGAGAAATATTTAATTTTTCTATTGAAAGTGCATTTGAAGCACTTAAGCTGCCATGTGGCTATATGTTATACATATTTAGAAACTAGTTTCTCAAGTTTTGAGGTTCTAAGATTTCATTTAATTTTACCTTTTAAGCGATTTTATTCTTTTCCGAGCTGACTTCGCTACATTTCATACATATTTGGCATCTCATTCACCATGTTTTCAGGTTTCTCTGATTTCACTGATTTGACCTTTCTTTCTGTAAGGCAATCACCTCGTGAGCTATTTTGCTCATGGGGCGTGAATCTTCGTTTTTTATTCCGCTTGAGGCTACGCAAGGAACCTGTTCAAGCGCTCCCCGACAACACCACCAGTTACTCATCCCAGTTATTACGACCTCGTATGTTAAATCGCCAATTTATTACTCAACAAATCCCCAAGCAACCTCAGGTTAACGCTTCAATAGCGTCTAGCTTTTTCTTATTTTTTTTTTTTAATTTTCCAAGATCCCTAAATTGGCCGCCTTCATGTTCATGACAGAGACAGGGGGAATGGAGTTGGTCGGCTCGTGACATCATCCCAGGACTGATTCGACTTAGTGATAAAGCAGGCAAACAATTGGAGAATTAACCCCGGAAGGAGACCTTCAAACCATCCCATATTTAGAGGACAACCGCCTTGAGGCGAAGAAACGCAGCGAAAATGGGTAGACCCAGGCTGGCCGGCGCGACTCCTTTCATTCGCAAGCGATTTTAAATGTTGTGCCTTCAAAGTTTAGCTCTGACCAGGATATGTTTTTATGACTTTCGATAATCCTTTCACTGTGATGATCGGTAAAACAAGGTGATTTATTTTATGGAAAAAAAAATTCTGCGGTTTATGGCACAAGTCTTTTATTTGATGTTCTATAAAAGGTTTTTGTATGTGCTCTGTATAGCTTTTGATTTACTATGTATGCATGACAGCATTAAATTACTAATGAATTATTAATCATTAGGGCATCTTTCTTCATATCAATGCAACGCTTGTCGACATTTCAATCAATCGTTGTCCTCCCCCTGTTGTTGACGGCGAGAGGTTCCCTTTCTGATGAGTCAGAATTTTCCCTAAGAAAAAAAAGGAAAAAAAAAACACAGTCGTGTAGTTTAATCGACCGGTTGAAAGTATTCCATTTCAACAACACAAACGGAAGTCATTAGTCAACCGAAGAGTTATTTCCAGTCGAATGCTTCAAGTCAGTTTCTGAAAACTGATTGGTTAATTACTTTTATGAGAAGCTATTGGCTGAAAGACTCAAGAAGCATGTCTGAGTTCACTGTGATTGGTCAGTTCTGATGCGTCGGTAAAAATTGGGTCGTTCTGCTCGGTTAATCGGGATTTTATTGCCTGGGCAACTTGTGGTTTTTGTCAAGAAGCTGACAATAAGTTAATTCCCACAGGATTTTGAAAAACTCGGCCTGAAGAACTGTATTACAGCATTCTGTTCGCAAGAGCAGTCGTGGAAATTGTGAATTCACTTTCTCTTAGAGCTCGTAAGACATTCTTATGAGAAATTTAAAATTCATTTCTGTGTTCGTCCAGGCAATTCCTGCCAAAAAGTGTCAGTGTAACAAAAAAATGAAAGAAAGTATTTTATTACTTGTCGTCTTCAGTAACGTTCTTCATCAAACGACCTATCCCGCCCCGCTCGCGCAATCCCATAGAAAACCATAGTAAAAGCTGACGTGTGCAGGGCCGGACGGGTTGACGTGAGCTGGTCCGGAAAAGGCCGCCCGGCGCTGCTGCCCTCACGTCTCTTTGTTGCAAAAACTTAAAGGAAAGCAGAAATGAAAAAAAATTTGCGTTTTTCAAGGAATTGGGAGTTTCTTGTTCTGACTCGAAAAAATAATGGAAAAGTAAAAATTCCAAAACTTTTTTTGTGCTCGTGTGGCTACGTGTGCCCTTCTGTCGCGTCCTATTTAGGTTGAAATTTTTAGCACTTGTTGGTCATATGATAAAATGCTTATTGACTGAGTTTGGTCGGGCAGGGGGACGGGAAAATATTTGGCTCTTGGTCATGAAGCACGGACAGAGCGCAGCGAGGTCCATAGGTCATGACCTCGAGCCAAACATTTCCCCGTCCGGCCCGATCAAACTCAGTCAATAAGTACATATTGCAGATTTCTCCAGAAAAGAGGTTTTATAGTAACAGAGAGAGAGAGAGAGAGAGAGAGAGAGAGAGAGAGAGAGAGAGAGAGAGATATCTATTTCACGCACATCATTTTGCCATCTCCGCAAATAGCACAAGCTAGACGAGGCGGGCGGAGAGGTAAGGTTACAGCAGTCATAACAGATAAGATAATAATTGCAAAGTAACTAACTAACTAACTAACTAACTAACTAACTAACTAATAATAATTGCAAAGTAACTAAATAAACTATCTGGATAAATAAGAACTACCTGCAAGGTGCCTTCTACAAAAACAACCGGTACTATGGTCATTGTACTATTTACCAACCTTAAAGAGAATATTTCACGCAACGTAAAAAAACAAACTAGCAGGACCTAAGAAAACAAACAAACAAATAAAAGATAGTAACATAAAAATAACATAAGACCTAAACAACAAATCCTAGAGGAAAAAAAGGTAGGAAAAAATTATCTTCAAAAAAGTCTTTCTTTTTAAAGTAAAAATATGACGGAAAGAAACACAAGAAAGTAAAGTAAGTCAATCATTTGGAAACAAAATTATAATTGTACTCACTTGAAAAAGGCAGATGAAAGCTGCTATCTGTAAAAGTAGGAAACCGAGAATAAATGCTTGTTATGCGCATGGTTATTTATGTTACAACCCCCCTTAACACTCTGAAAGAAGAGTCCTCCACCACCACCATCACCACCCCCACCCCCTGGTTAAAAATACCGACTTGTCCCTAAGCTCTCCATAATAACAAGTTTTGTAAGCGTAGATCGAATGCCTGGATCGATGAAAAAGTACTTACACTCGTGGACCACCCAAATCCAAAATGATCATCTAATGCTCCGGAAAGACTGGGCCCAATCGTTGCTCTATGGCGAAGGTATTGAAAAAGAAATTTTGATCCATTTTAAGCGGGGTTGTTAGTGTCTGCCCTCCCTCGAATCGTTGCAGATTCAGAAATTCAAACAAAAGGGATAAAGAGTAAGTAAAAAAGTGCACATACCCTAAATAGTACATAGAACTGTAAATGCTTGACACGAGCGCGTTTGTGGAGGAATTATCTGGAAATCCATTTGCCCTGCAAGAGGTAAAGTAGCAACAAGCACGTACAAAACTGAACATAATTTTAAAAAAATTCCAAGAAATAAATCAAGCTGATTTCCAATAACTCGAACGTTCGCCAATTCGAACTTCGCGCTAACTCGAGCTAAATCAATTTCACTGAATTTCCGCCATTCATGTCATTTTCTGCAACTTTACTCTGGCTAAACCGAGCCCTCGATAAAAAGAAACGAGACCTTTTTAGTTTATCTTGAAGGTTCGCAGTTATCGGGAGTCGCTGTACTTGTTAAAAATAATTACAAAAGTTCTCAAACAAAGAAGAAGGAGAGAGGACTTGACTGCAGTATTAAAACAGTTCAAACGCCAAGCAAACAGCAAACCTCAAACATTCAAAAAATCATTATCTCTTGCAGTTCTCGTATTTGTAATTTATTAAGCACAGGGTTCGTACACTTTTTCAGGCCAAAGATTCAAGGACTTTTCAAGGACTTTCCAGGACCCTACTTTGAAATTTCAAGGACTTTTTGTAATGACAATTTTACCTCAAAATCAAGAAAACTGTTTCTGTTAACATCTATGTTTTGGATTTACCGATGGTGCAAAACAAAAGCAGATATTTTTCGATGTTGTTCAATACAAAATCAAGGACTTTCAAGGACCCAAAACGAAATTCAAGTACTTTCAAGGCCTTGAAATCGGCCTCCTGAAATTCAAGGGTTGTCAAGGGTTTTCAAGACGCGTACGAACCCTGTAAGTAACAAAACATATTCCTACCTATCGTGGCTATAAATTTGCCAGGGAAATTCGTCACAAACATGTCATTAGACCTTTACACCCTAACGTCAGAATGCATATTATCCTTACTGTTCTGTAGACATTCCTCGTGGTGCTGACAAGAAGAAACTTTTTTAACAATCAAGAAATTCTTTAATTGGCGATCATTTCCTTCGCTACCGTGACCTAAATGTTCAGTTCAGAGGAAAAATATGACGCTGGTAACTCTTACAGGTTAGAGTACTTAGATCGTAAATACGAGTATGAAAGTTGGTACTTAGTGCTTTGCTGTTAAACTAGTAACATTTTTTGTGCCCATCTTGCATTGTTTTTTGTCGTTACACAAACATTACTATTTACCTTAAAGTTTTAATAAGGTCAGGCATGATAGGTACAAAAGCAAAACCACCAGCAATTCCATAAAGGAACATTGCGAGAATGACCAGCCAAATCGTCCTGCAAGAATAGCAAGATCAAAACAAGTAGAATATCATAAACATAACATATCTATTAGGTGATTCAACCTCGGTTTTGGATCGTTCTAGAAATAGGCGTTCTAGAGATAGGCGTGAAACTTGATAACACAGCCACAAATCTATGTGGGATCTCAGGATCATTGACCTGTGACGTTTTTGAACATGTGCAAATGCTCAAAATATGGATTACTTAAGGAAAGTTTCAACCAAACACCAAAATGCTCTCGGGATATTTGTAGACACAATTTTAATACCTTTAAAGGTTGGTGTGAAGTAAAATGACCTTTGTACACTCGCCTCCGACCAGTTATTCATATCTCTTTTTTTTTCATTCTTGAGCACAGACCTCTTTCAAAATGTCGAGGAAATAAAAATTGTTTTGGATATTTACGATTGTTTGGGATAGAGTATTGACCTAAGAGGAAACAAAAACAAAGTTTGATACAATTTGTCACGTAAGCAGTAAAATAAGAAAAAAAGCCTTTTTTCTCATAGACCCTTGGGTCTTCATACGGTAAGACCCGAGGTAATGGCTATACAAGATGGCTCGCGACTCTGATCAACATTTTGTTGGCCTACCTACAATCTCTCTTGAGGACATCACTGGTAAGTAATAAACATGTATCAACTCTATGTTGGGTTTATATGACGTGGTGGACTAAGTGCTAACGCGCTCGACTCCGGGTCGGGGGTCTGAGTTCGACTTCCGTCTACGCCTAGAAGTTTAACAGCCTTCACTCCTACATTCACTTAAAAATTACAGCTTATCCGCTGCGAAAACTGTTTCTTTACTTGCAATTGTAATGAACATGTTTATAGTCCTACGCAAAATGATTAGTATACATACTTTGTTGGTAAGAAAGTGAGAAATGGAGCAGGACCCACTAACAGATGTCCGATGGCAAAACCAGTAAATCCTGCTATCATCATCGTTCGATAACATTTCTGCGAAGAGAGTTTTTAAAAAATAGGAAATTTTGTCAAAATCATGCTTTTAATTTTAACTGTAGCAAACCAAATAACACGATAAAGATCTGTGAACGTGGGTTTTTAACAACACGGCTTTCGGAACGCATGAATTTTTCTTTGAAGTGACGCCTCAAGTTGACAATTGAATCAAGGGTAAATTGGAGGTATAAAAGTATTAACGGTAACTGATGTCTTTGAAGGACTTTCAAATATCGAAGCACAAAGTGTTTGGGAAAACCCTTCACAGCAAGACGTCGCTAAAATTCGCTAGTTCCCCCCGGCACTCTTTACTTTTTCATTTTTTAACAATCCATTTCATGCACCGCACCCATTTCCCCAATCCTTGAGAAAGAAGCTCTTTATTAGGCCAGAATAGATCCCGTTGGTCACCCTTCCCTTTACCCTATCCATTCCCCTGGAGAGAAAAGGAAACTTCACAAAGAGAAGTCCTAGTTTACCCTGCCGGAAGAAGCTTGAAATTTCTTTGAGCGCACATTTGGTAATTATGATAATGCCAAATATCGCTGCAAAGTTAATTGTTCCATTTCCAAAGGGAAAACTTACCATTCTATCCCCTATGCAGCCGACTATTGGTGCTAACAGGGCATAAGTCCCAGACCAATAAAGAAAAGCAAGACCGATCTGTGTTGGATTTTGACCCATCTGTGAAGTGAATAGATGTCACTTTTACAAAAATGGACAATTAAGCTCAGCACTGAAGACAGAGGACTCAAAAAGTTTAGCGAACTCAATTTTCCACAAGGAATCATAAATCGCATTTCGATTATTAGAAATGCGACACGAGCGTGTCTTTGCCCGTGATCGTCTCAGGCCAGATCCCTTGCAAACCCCTTCTCGACTCGTCTTCAATCTTCCTGCGTGCAGAGAAACGGGCGTCTTGCAGCGTTAATTATGAAGGCCTGGGCCCAGGCTGATATTGATTGAATGTCGCATAATGAAAACCAAAGCAGTCACATCGTCCAATCAGAAGAATGAAAAATATCACGTGTAGCTAATAAAGAACTCAAAGTACAAAGAAGCAACTTTCATGAAGCACGGGAAATTAAAATGACTCTGACTGTTCTGCCTCCAAATGGTTAACGCGAGTTTACTGGATCAATAGAGGGATGTTACACAGAACTAACTAAGTCCTAGAGTATCTTCCAATTTCACTTTTCAGTCTTTCTCAAGGTACTGTGTTAAGTGTTCTCGCGCCCAGGTTTGCCTTTCCAAGACTACATAGATTTTGATCAAACAAAGCATGTTCTGAGACAGAATAAAGCAATTTTTGATGTTACCTTAAAAACGCCAAACATAATTTTAACGTAAAAGTCGTACTTGTACCTGTTTCAAGTGCGGGCCTATGATAGGCTCAAGGTAAGAAAATGATAAACCACAGGCGGCAAAGCAGAGAGCTGTAATACAATGGATTAGAGACCTATCTCATTTCGTTTAACTCTAAAACAATTATAACAATTCTTACTCTGTAACTTAAAAAATGGCCTTGACCTTTTCAATCGCTGAACCTGGCTAATTTAAAAGGTACCCTTTTCTTTTTGAGATATATACAATCTTACATACAATTTTACAACCCCGGAATCCCGGGTGATATTTTTGGCGCTTGCAAACGTAACATGCGCGCTTGCAAACGTAACATGCGCGCTTGCAAACGTAATATGCGCGCTTGCAAACGTAGCATGAACGTAACATGAACATGAATGTAACTACGTTATATGAACGCGACCACGGCTAGGTGAGTTACTACAATTTGAGATTTTTACATGACAAATTACGACCCCGAATGACAAGGTTACCCTACCTGGCAGAAAGGGCAACCCACCGGGTTATCCCAATTATCATGTAAACTTGATCAAGGTAAAACAAGAGATTGTACTGACAGACAGGTTACACCACCTACGCAGGTTACTTCACCCAGCTGGAGTCCCCCACCTCCTAGTAAAGAGGCTCTAACTCTCCATTATCCACTTTCAGAAATAATACGCGAAATGTTAAGTTTAGTCTCATACTTACATAGCATGAGTGCAGTTGGAATTTTTAGCGCTTCTAACATGGATATTGATTCCTTGTCACTGTCTTCCTTGTCTCCTAGTATGTAGTTTTTATAACAATAACACATGTGATGTTTCGAAAGAGAAGACTTCTCAGAAATGGACAAATATGGCTCAAAACTACACTAAATACAGTACAGGTATTCTTTTTTCCCATTTTATTCCATGGCCGGAGTTAGAGGTGATCCGCAAAAAAAATATGTAGCCCAGCGCTAACTTTCCCTTTTGTTCAATGCTTTTGACTCACATTGCATCTCCATGTTGGTGGCTACAATTGTATTTGGTTACCAAACTGTTCGCCAGAGAGCATTGGTATAATATGTTACCTTGAAACGATTTTAAATAAAAGTTGTCCATAAAAGGCACATCGTAAAAAAAAGAAAAGGTGATTCAGACATGTCAAAAACGACTTAAGGGTTGACTGTAATATTAACTGGCTCACTGACTTGATTGTCTAAGTGACTGACTAAGTGACTAACTAGCCCAACTGACTAACTGACTGACTGACTTAATTGACTAATTAACTCACTGACTCATTGATGGACGGATCAATTATTAACCTAAGCACCTTTTCAACATATCAACTGATATACGAAAAAATGAGATACTTCAATCAGTTAGAAAACAGATTGTTTAAAACAACTCAAAATCAAACCTTTGCCAAGTATCAAAACTAAAACTGGAATAACAGCTATCATAGTGCCACCGGTAACAATGAAGGGAAGTTTAAAACCACCAACCTAAAAATGAGATCAAAGAAGATGAAAGAGTAAACATTCGATGACATTATTTCATTGCACCTTTGATTACCCTGTTGCCCATTGACTTTAATTCTTTCCATGATATACTCTGTGAACAGAAGCTGGGGTAATGAAGTGTTCAACCTAACTGTGGGTGGAATAGTCCCTTTTACAGTTGTGGGCTTGGTGGCCAAGCCTTTTAACAGGAGTGAGGCTAAGGGTGACCCTGTTGTGATAGAGACCTGTATCTAGTTAGCATGATAACAAAATAATTTGCATTTGAAAAGCAGCAACATCTGTATCATAACAAGGTCACCCTAAGCCTCACTCCTGTTCAAAGGCTTGGCCACCAAGCCCACAACTGTAAAAAGGACTATTGTAAATTGTAATTTATCAGGTAAATAAATTACAAATTGCATTGTAATTTGTAATTTGTTTACCTGATAAATTACAAATTACAATGGTAATAAATAAGGGAAAGATCATGTCTTGCCCATACTGTGTAAAGAACTCCCCCAATAACTGGACCAAGGGAAAATCCAGCTCCAGTACATGTCTCTACCACACCCTAGAAAATAAAATTTAAAGAAGTATTTTCTTATTTTGTCTTAAAGCTGCACTAAATTGTATTATTATAATATAACCAAAGTAAAGCGCGCACTATGATTGGTCAATTTAGCGTCCCCCATTTGCCCATGGGTGTACGCTGCTGACTTGAGCAAATGCAAGACTATTTTTCCGCGCATGCTTGTTTTTTTCTGGTCACGTAAGATTTGTTAAATGAAAGGGAACTCTTTAGCTACAGATTGTATCGATGTTATGTTATAAAACAAATGGTAAACACCACAACGTACACTATTGAGTTATGTATGCACTTGGGAGGTTTGCTAAGCACTCAAGAAGCTAGAGTCGCTCTCGGCTATCGCCTCGCGCGACTCTTATGCTTCTTTTGTGCTTAGCAACCTCCTGCATGCATCCATAACTCAGTAGTGTACACTGTGGTGTTTACCATTTGTTAAAATCAACAAGATCAGGGGAAGAGAGAGGTGAACGAATCAAAAAGGGAGGAGGGGACCTGGAGAAATTTCTTCGACATCTTTACTACATGTACCATCTCCCTAGTAAATTTGAACTTTTCAAATGAATTCAATACGGCAGCTTTAACACAATAGGAATGTAATGAGTACTAGCTTGCCACATGTTTGCTATGCAGACTTTTTTTCAGTTTACAAGCACTGTTAAAATCAAGTCTTTAAATTCCAATCAATTTTAAACAAAATGGAGGTAATGGTAAATTTAAGGTCACCTTCTGAATCTACTGCTGCTAAACCTATTCAACAAACACTTATTCCAATCATTTATTGCAATTCATTTACTGTCATTTTTCCAAAGAAGTGAACATTATTTAGAGTACTTAGCATTTTGATGAATAAGCGCTCTTTTCAGGAGATTTTTTTGCTTTATTTTAAGGTGGCTTTAGACCCACTGAAAAAGACATGACTTAGGGAATGTCACGACAAGTCCTATACAGCTGCTCTGGAGAGATGTCTTTTCCCAGTGGAGTAAATAAATAGTTGCCTTAATTATGATGCACAAATAACTAAAAATAAGCAACTCTTTGATACAAATATTTTACAAGTTCTTATCCATCAAAGCATATCAATTACCATGTGTATAATCTTAACATTCAAGAAACAAAGTCCCACATACTGTAACCATTCCAACATTATCTGGAAATTTTTCCAATAAAATGGACAATGCTGAGGTTTCAGCTGCAGCTCCTCCAATAGCAGATGTTGCTCTTAGCAAAAAGCAAAGAGCTATGAACGCATCCCGATCGACAATCATGCCACCAAATCTAAAAGATACAAAAGCCATGGTATCTGATAGTTTCCTGAAGAAGCAAGATCCTCTTCAACCTCTTACATTTTCCCTTTCAATCTTTTCACACCAAATAGTGAAGATTCTTTCAACTTGACAGTCTTTAACATTTCTCAGCATAACAACTTTGCTTGCTCAAGTCTTGTTCAGTTTATCAAGTCATTGGATAAGTGATACATCTGAGAGCTAGCCTTTTCACTTTCAAGATTGACCATAGAGAAATTTCTCTAATAACAGTATTATATTACAATTTCAAGGAAAAGAGCAATGAGAAGAAAGAAGGATGGCAACTAGCTCAAGGATCAATTGTGAGATTAAATGCAAAAATGATACATATTGAATCCAGTTGTTTGGCTCACCCAAATAAAACCATTGATCCCCCACAAAGAACAAGCCCTGTGTAGAGCACAAACCTGGGACCATATTTTGGTATCTGTAAGTGATACAAATTCCTCATCAGTAAATCACTGTGAAGAAGCTTGGAATACAATTGTTGATTGTTGATTCATGCAGAAAACTACACATAGTCATGTTGTGGCTGTGTGGTAACACCCAAACATCAGTATCAATATTCTTGGCACTCTTTCCTGTACATTTCCTAGGTACTGGAAAAGAGAATTCATTTATCAATCAAGGCTTCTCAGGTTGGTGATCATTTCCTTTATTCTCATGAGCTGAATGAATGACTCATAAGTATAACTGTATGGAGAAATTAGATGCTCATTGGTTAATTAAGCTTAAAGGGTTAAGAATACAAAATATACATTTCTCATTAATAACCGTCTACTTTTCTTCTCAGCAAAGTAATCTGTAAAAATGAAAGTAAACCGTTCCTGGTCCTGTCTTGTGGATCCTACTCTGATCTAAATGTGGTTAAGTTACTTATCATGAAAATTAATTTTAAAATTATGATAGAGGATTATTGAATATGTAAAAGGGAATAATGGTTTTATTAAAAAAAAAAAAACACTCCAAGATACTAGACAAATCTTCTCGACTTTATTTTGTAAGAAGAAACCGGATGTTACAATGTACAGATATTAGATTATGGTATATTGGCTCATATACCATAATGGCTAAGCCAATGAAAAGTCTTGAATGGCATTATCCAATGATCCAGTTTTTAATAATGATAAATATACATATAAATGGTTCAAATATTCTAACTCTCATTAATACCCTTCAGAGTCAAATACTTACAAGAACTCCACAAAATGGAGAAAAGATGAAAACCACAAATGAATAAGTTCCAAAGAGTAAACCCACTATAGTTCCAGATACGCCTTTATCCCTTGCCTTTTAGGTCGACAGAAGAAAAAAAAACAATTAAATGGTAAATCAGGAAACTTATGAAACAAAATGTAAAAATGGCATTGGAACAATATTCAATCTTCCTAAACCATCCCCAGACCCCCATTAAGCTCTTACTTCTGTTAGTTTGACCCTTTGGCCTATCCCTCTTGCCTTAAATCTCCTACAATGATTAAATCTTCAGCTTACTGTGGTGAGCCTTTTGTCCTCGACTGTATAGAATCTCTTTTACCGTGCAGTCACAGGAATATTGAAGCTTGTAAAGGAGATTCTTTTTATCAGTTTTTTCATTGGAAGTCTAATGCATAATAATTAACAATTATTCCACGAGCACACATTGCATATGAGATGATAGATAGCCAATGAGGCGCGTAGTGCCAAGTTGGCTATAATCATATCAGCTCCATTTTCTGCCTTTAAAAGCACACACAACCCACAATTCCTCTATTCGCTCCGACGAAGGGCTAACGCTCGAAACGTCAGCTTTTGTAATCATTACGGTGGCCAATATACTATTTCAACTTTGTTGATATATCCAAATTAAATAATCATATCATATCAACTGACAAGCGCGAGTGGAATAATTGTTTTATTAAAAACGTTAAATTAAATTATTAAATTTTACTTAATATTTTAGCTCCCTTTTAATTTTAAGCTGATGTGTACGCTTACCATACTGGTAGATTATGGTATATTGGCTCATATACCATAATGGCTAAGCCAATAAAAAGTCTTGAATTGCATTATCCAATGATCCAGTTTTAATAAAAGCCATTAGTGCAATGCTCCTGGCAGCAGACACAATAGTCAGAGCTTTGCATCAAAGAAAAAAATCATAATTTTGTAAACAGCCTTTTCTTTTAAATGTATGTTTATTTGGTTACTTTCATCATTTATCTGTAACTATGGGGAAAAAAAGCCCAGTTTTGTTTTNTTTAGCTCCCTTTTAATTTTAAGCTGATGTGTACGCTTACCATACTGGTAGATTATGGTATATTGGCTCATAAACCATAATGGCTAAGCCAATAAAAAGTCTTGAATTGCATTATCCAATGATCCAGTTTTAATAAAAGCCATTAGTGCAATGCTCCTGGCAGCAGACACAATAGTCAGAGCTTTGCATCAAAGAAAAAAATCATAATTTTGTAAACAGCCTTTTCTTTTAAATGTATGTTTATTTGGTTACTTTCATCATTTATCTGTAACTATGGGGAAAAAAAGCCCAGTTTTGTTTTTCCCTCAAAACTAAATGTTTCCCTGAGGACCATGCAAAGGGTGTGAATCATTATTCACAAAATACCTAGGTTACAAATCTATCAATTGAAAATGCTGTCATTTCCTATCTTTCTTCACCACAGTCTATAATACAGTGACACTGAAGTTACATTTCCACTACACACTAACTAAATAATAATAATAATAATAATAATAATAATAATACTAATAATAATAATAATAAATTTTAGGATAAATGATTCTGTGCATAAAAGGAGCATTTGGAACCCTGACAGGCTTTTTAAGGAAAGCTCCTTGTTGACTCAGAGTTAAAAAAATTATTATTTTATGAGTCAGCTAGTTACTTATTATCTATTAAAGATATTACATTTATTTAACACCACAGGCTTAATTTCTAATGTATTAGTGATTGATAAATATGATAGCTGACCTCTTGAGGAAAGAATTAATGGTGAAAACACCAGAAAGCCGCAAAGACCATTGTTGGCATAGTTAACTATTATGTGAAAAAGCCCAAGTGAATCACCTCCAAGGGAACACTTTTCCTCTTTCTCGCTCTTTTCGTCTCATCATCGGATTAAATATCTTAACCACCGGTAATAGTCATTTTCAATCTGAATGGATCTCAATTTGACTCAAATGTCAACAACTTTTTGCAACTCTTAAATACTGTTGCAAGAATTAATAAAAAAAGTTGAGAAAGGATTGGACCACGGTAGATCTAGGTTCGTTTTCTTGCTCGATCGATCCTCACACAATGACGCCGAGGTTATGTGATTGCGTTATGATTTGAATATTTGAAGTCCCTGGCATATATATTTTAAATGATCTAGACGCCTTTTAAGTCGAGAAAACGGGAGGTCAAATTTAGATTTCATTCTTTCAATCAAGCTTTGGCGTACCTACTTTCGTAAGCTGAGAGTTAATTTTTCAGCAGTTGTTTCCACACAAGACATGATATCATAAGTTACGTGACTCAAGCCAGTTACGTGTGCCTTTGAGGTTAGACTTGAAGCACTATATGCATGTTGTTATTCAATTATCAGAGATTAAATTCAATGAAAAAAAATGCATTTTTGTTAGCATTTCTTAATTTGATTGTCCGTTCACTTTTTCGCTTTCAAATTCTGGAATTTGCGTTATTAAGTGGGGATAATTTGTTTGACTTATTGAGTTGTGATCAAAGGCATTCATGTGCTTATCTTCTAGTATGTTATCGTTCATCAATAAATATAAGTGCTTACCTCACTGGGAAAGAATGGTGAATATACAGAGTATGCTTCAAACACCACAAAGTACACAATGCAGAGGGAGACGATGATAAATATGTTGCGAACAGTACAAAGAGAGCCCGAATTCTGCACCCTCTCGTTGGATCGGTAGCTGTCGTTTGACAAGCCATTCCTCTGGTTGGTAAATGAAATCTCTGGACTACTAACATCTTCCATTTATGATATTATAAATAAAATGTCGACATTTAATTGCAACCGTTTTGAGCGCAACTTACTTTTCAAATAGTTTAACATTGACCAAAGAAGAAAACTAATAGTTGAGTTTCGAAGGTCAGCGGTAAGTCTGGCTACGAATTATTGCACCATCTCACGCAAGAGCAGTTACGCAATAAAGTACGCGTCACGCGACACGAATACAGCTTGCATAGTTGTTGTTTACTTCTCGATTGTTTGTAAGCAATTACCTTGTAAGTTTTTCCGCGACTTTAAAATGTTCAGTAAATTATATTGTTTGATAAGAATGGACTGGTTCCTCGGAATCCTGGTAAAGACCTTCTCTGTCTGTTCCATTTACGCAAATTTATAATCAATCGATCGAAATTGGTATAGTTCCAAATATATTAAAAGTTTCACAGGTTACTCCAGTTTACAAAAATGGTGATGCGACTGACCCAGCCAACTATAGGCCTATTTCAACTCTCTCATCTTTTAGTAAAGTTTTAGAACAGCTAATTTATAGTCAACTATACAATTTTCTTGAAGAATATAGTATTTTGTATGAGTATCAATTTGGATTCAGGAAGGGCTACTCAACTGAGCAAGCTATCTTAGAAATTACTGACTCACTTAAGAAGGCTATGGATAAAAAATTGGTTACCTGTGGTCTTTTTCTCGACTTTTCAAAGGCATTTGACACAATTAACCATGATATTCTGTTATGGAAACTTTATAGCTACGGTATACCACAGGTAGCCCAAGCTCTCTTTGAGAACCACACAAGGAACACAATTTGCATATCGATTTATTAGGATTTGTATGGGATTTTCTACAAGATAGCCATAGAGATAGTTAAAAGTGAAAATATTAAATAAAAATGGCTTACCTTATTCCATAATAATCCTGGTTTTCTCTTCTTTAAGAGGAGAAAACCAGGATTAAAAAAAACCGCTTAAATCAAGTGAAATCGGTAAAATAACTACACCAGGAGCTAGCAATACACGTATGGAACAAGGTAAGCCATTTGATTTGCACTTAGTGTTTTGTAGTTTTGGCGCCAGAGCGTTGTCACAGGGAGTCTGGGGACCAACCCCTCTTTTTATTTAAAGTCGCGAAGAACTCAATATTCAAATAACGGTCAGCCAGAGATCACGAAAAGATCTAAAAGATGTATGGAATGCCCTACGAATTGTAAGTTAAATTTCGTTAAAAACTCTCAAATGCTATTCAATATTTAAAAAAAATCTGAATTTGTTTTTTAGTTTGACTTGCTTCCTCTGGCAACCAGTACAAACGTAGGCATGCTACGCATGCAGGAGTTATTTTTTTGGATACGTAGGTTGAAATGGGACACTATATAACTGATGCTGGTGTCTGAATTGTTGGCAA